GCAACAGAGGCAAGAACATCAAACATTTCTTTTTGATAAAGGAATTCATAATTTATATGTGAATATGTGTTTGTGTTTGTTAAGGAAAAAGGTTTCAAGTGTAAGGATGCTCAAGAATGGTAAAAGGATGATGCAGTTTCCTGCAGAGGGCAGCATAAGACCACATTGAGTGAACTATAATAGCTAAACATTGTATCAGGTGTAGATGCTCTTTCATGATTTAGGGCCCCACTGGTGTGGGCAGCTCTTCTCTTTATTACTGAAATTACATTTGATGCATATCTGTATGTAGCCTCTAAATAGATTTGGACTATTTCTGTTTAGCAAAAGATTGTTGTCGTGTCAGACTTGGGAAGGAGAGAGAAGCCAGGCATTTTTGGTCTCATGAGGTGTGCTAAGGCTAACTCAGCTCATCTCTCATACAACATGCATTGTATGAGATGCTTACTCAACAACAGCACAGCAATCTTGCTTCATATAAAGTGCACAAGCATTGATATGTTCTTGCAGTAAAAGTCATAAGAATTAGGCTACTGGGTGTGCAAAATTCAGTACTGAAGAATCTATCTGTCTCTCCGTCTGCCCATCCATCCATCCGTTGAAATTGGGTCATTCCGTGTCAACTCAACCAGAAGTCCCCGCTCAATTTTTTTATTTTGTTAATATTCTTTTTAATTTTAATCATATTTATGGCACTCAGACAGGTGTGTTCTATGCAATTGAGCTGATAGAAAAAAAAGAGATGTAGCTACATTTCTACTTTAAACATTATTTGTTCTTCGGATATTTCTCTTTAAAGCTGCAGTCCGTAACTTTTTTTGGTTAAAAATTATCCAAAATCAATATTTGAGCAAGTACATAACCAGCCAGTGTTCAAAACTATTGCCTTACTTTAGCTCAAATTAGAGATTAGACTGTACAGAAATTGAAATCTACTCGCTTATACACACTATAGGCTACTCTTAGTCACGCAATGCTGATGTTGTTAAAGGGGTCCTATTATGCTTTTTCACTTTTTAAATTTTAATCAGTGTGGAGTGTGTATGTTTGGGCATAAAAAAGATCTAGAAAGTTACAAATCTCAAAGTCTCAAAACTCCAAAGGGAGATATTTCGTTTTTAAAAAATTCCTTTTCAAGAACTACAACGAACGGCTCGTGTCAGAACAAACGTGGCAGACTTGTTACTTACTTGTTCAGATGACAATATCCGGTGAAAATGCTTATTTGAGTCATATATTCCAAGACCTAGGCTAGAATCTGTGAGTGCAAAGTACGATATCCACACCGGTGCGGTGACTGACTGCCACGCATACTCCTCAAAACATTAGATTCATCCGCGCTGGAGCTGTGCCGCCGCACAACCCACGCAAGGAAGATAATTCCACACACAGCTGCATTTGCAGGTTTTCAAACAGAGATGGCGACAGAGAGGCAAAACTTACAGACTGCAGCTTTAAAGGTGCCATAGAATGCATTGATACAACATTTTAAATTGTTCTCTGATATCTACATAGAAGGTATGTCGCTTAGGTAAGGGCAAAAAATCTCTAGAAATGGTTTTACATGTCTATTTACAACCCTAGGATTTGTCCCTAGAATGAAATGGTCTGTTTTTACCTTATTTGGAAGGGTCATGAATAATAATGTTGAGCTCTGCTCTGATTGGCTGTTTCGCAGTGCGACTCATTTCAGTAGCTCACACAGCAGGAAGGAAACACAGGGAAAATATATATTTCAATACTTTCTCTCGCAGTTATATCGTTGGGTAATTATACTGTATATAAAATGCGGGCATCAGGGAGCCACTATTAATATGCGGGGCATTGAAACTGCTTTCGAATGCACGATCGCTTTTTACTTTCATTTGCGATCGTACGTGATCTGTATAAGCTACAGCGGCAGTACTTAACACACATTTTACAAGATCAGATGCTTGTCAGTGGTGCTCAGGATCTGTAAATCATTCGCCATCATCCTCAGTCATCTCTCCTTACTCTGTTTATGTGGTAAGTGAAATCTTATGTACTGTAATGTAACAGGCTACCGCTAGCAAGCAGCTAACATGTCCCTTTAGTGGCTCGCGTTATTTTATTAGAACGCATTATTTGTTTTCCGTGTCTTTCTGAATACAGACACCAACCCATCCCTGCACATCACATCCCCTGCACAGCCTGGAACATAACATTTATTTCCATGATCTGCCATTTTCGCTATTATCCTCACTTGTTTCTTCACAATACCTGCAGAACTTCTGATGATTTGGCTGTGCAGGTTCGGCTGGCGGCTGGCATAGAACATGGGCGGGTATATGCAAATGTTAGGGGTAACTATTAGTGATCCCGACTGTAACGTCACAGTCTGTGTTATGTTCTGATTCGCCTATTTTTCAGTGGTCTTTTGCATGCACGAGATTTACATAAGAAGGAGGAAACAATGGTGTTTGAGACTCACGGTATGTCATTTCCATGTACAGAACTGTTATTATTCAACTATGCCAAGGTAAATACAGTTTTCCATTCTATGGCACCTTTAAAATAAAAAAGTATCAGCTGTATGTAAAAATGACCCACATTTGGTTTTCGACCACTGAAAATGTGAACAATTTACCAATTTACTCATGGAGCCGCATTAAAATCTCCATATCTCTGGGACTGAACCATTGAGGGCCTTTAAAATGAAGATACTAAAAGGAAAGTTTGTTAAGAACAAGAATACAAAAGGATATTAAGATATCTTAAATACTTCTTGAGTACAGGCATGCAAACACGAGTCAAAAACACAAGAAGTGTTTTTTGCCAATCTCTGTGTAAAAATAAAATAATGATGCTGCCAGCTTTTTACATCCCTGTAAATTGGCTCCAAATCTCAGGTGAAAATCGTCATTTTGACCCTCCTCTCCAAAATAGTGGATTATTCAGTAAATCTGTGACATTTAATATTTTGGCTTTCATCACTTTTTATATTTGTCTTTCTACAGAAAAAGATATTTAAAAAAAATCAAAAATTTGAGTCGGGGAAGTTTCTGAAATTTGGTTGATTTGACGCGGAATGACCCAATTCTGTATTATATATTTTAGTAATTTAATTGGAATTGAAATTTATTCTCAAATACTGTATACTTTGTGTTATATTTGGACAACTTTATTGAGAATTCTCAAAAAAAAAAGTGTAGAATTTAATGATGGGTCAGTAATAACCTTGTGGGGTATTGCTGATATGTAAATCAATTATCTAAAAAGCAAAGCACACTTTGATTGAGCAAGGACATGCAGTATCATTTAAAATCAACCGAGGGAGCACTTGCATTGTGCTGGAACATTGCTTCTTCCTCTGAATGAAAACAAACAAGACCGCTAGCAATTATGAGCTCACTGACACAACTAATCAGAACATAGCATTAAGCATTTCATTTGAATTTTTAAATCATTTGAATCATTTTAGCAAGGAGAAACAAGGAACAATGTTTAAAGTGTGAGATGACTTGTGATGTTGCACTGTATTTCACTAAATAGTTAAGGTTGGTGAGGTTGTTAACTTATCTCTAAGTATTGCAGCAGTTGCCTAGGTAAAAGTTTGAGTTTCTCCGATAGCCATGCAAGTGTTATAAATGTCTCAGAGGTGAAAAATTGGAATACCCCCTTGAAACATTTGGCAACATCTGCACAAAGAAAGATTCTCAATACTTACCACAATAGAGACTAGGAGCACAAAGATGCTTTTCATTAGCCCATTTGCTGAGAAGAGATGAGTACTTCAGGTGTCTGTGAGGACAAATCGCAGATGTTTAGTGTCACCGTCACTAAGATTTTGTCTATGCGAACAAGCTCTTAATCTTTGTACACCATCGACCCTGCAATTTTAGGATGCATACCATCATGCAGCCAATGTATCAGACGTCCTTGAAAAATTAAAAGGGAGAACAGTTTATTTAAAGTCTTACGTAGGCCTCTGAATGAGTTTTGAACAAATGACTTATTCCTGGAAGCATTAACTGATGTAATTTCAGGAGAGGCCATCTTTTTCCACTAAGTTGCTTTTACAGCATGCACATTATAAAAGCTCCCAAGATCTAAATCAGATTCCATTTAGACTTTTTTTCT